CCTTATGCCAGAGGCAATTTCTAGCTCTTTCTCCTTGTATTTGCCTCCGTCTTGCTAATTATCAGGTTTCTTTTTCCATCTTTCGGGCCTCCAATCTGACCCATTATCTACTGACTTCCTACTATGCTACGTGAGGATTCTAGATTTCTTACACATCCTGGCTCCTTCTCTCCACCCTCCACCGAACGGCGTTTTCGGTTAAGTGCACGTTCAGTGTTTTCATTAGGAATGTACCGTACATGTTATTTCCTGCCCAGCCTGGAGTTCATAACTGCTTCATTTTTTTTTTCATTTGCTTGTTTTTTGTGTTTTTAATATCTCACTTTTCTAGGACTCCGTATTTGCACAAGCTCCGACCTACAGCTCAGGAAAAATCTCACAGGGGAATGTGAGCCTGGTCAGGATTTCTATGTGGAGATGTCTCAACTCTGCCCATCTGTCCTGGCTGTCCTCTGTGCCTGCGCGTGGCTACCGCCCTGAGACGCTCTCTTCCCTGCTCTCTCAGCGATCCCTTTCAGCTTTTTCCCTGTTAGGTCCTGTGTCTTGAATCTTCCTCCATAATGGTTTACCCCCTTATTTTGCCAGTGCGAAACCTCTACTAACTCCCTGAGCCGGTGTGCACGTGTGAAAATAGTTTATTCTCGTCGCATGCGCATGGATAGCCTGGCTGGGTATAGAATTCTAGGTTGTGAATTACTTTGACTCAGGGGTGGAAGGCATCTGTCCATGTCTCTAGCTCCCAGTACTGTTCTTATTCTCAATCAATTGTGGGTAACCTTAGGTCATTTTTTTCTTTATAACGGAAGCTTCTAGGATGTTTGCTTTATCCCTAAATTTCAGAGATTTCCTAATGCGTGGGTCATGCCACCCACCCTACCCCAACAACAAGTGTTTGGGGCATTTAGCGCACCGTGTTAACCTAAAGATTTGTGTTCTTCAGTTCTGGGTAAGATTTCTCTATTACTTTCTTTTGGAACTCCTGTTATTTGACTATTGGCCTCCTGGATTAACCCTGTAATTTTCTTGTTGTTTACTTTTACCGTCTTATTCTACCTTCTGAGAGTTGTTTCTATTATTGTTGTTGTTCCCTCTGTTTTTTCTTCCAAACCTTTTATTTAAAAACTATTTTATTTTATTTTTTTAAGTTTATTTATTTATTTTGAGAGACACAGCGATAGCACGAGTGGGGGAGGGACAGAGAGAGAGGGAGAGAGAAGGAGAGAGAGAACCCCAAGCAAGCTCTGAGCTGCCAGTGCAGAGCCCCATGTGGGGCTCAAACCCACAAAACCTTGAGATCAGGACCTGAGCCAAAACCAAAAGCTGGACACTAAGCCACCCAGACACTGCCTAAAAAAATGGATTTTTAAAGTTTATTAATTTATTTTGAGAAAGAGAGAGAGAGAGAACACAGGAGGGGCAGAGAGAGAGGGAGAGAGAGAATCCCAAGCAGGCTCTGCACTGTCAGCACAGAGCCTGATGCACGGCTTGATCTCAGGAACTGCGAGAACACGACCTGAGCTGAAAACAAGAGTCGGACGCTTCACCGACTGGGCCACCCAGGTGCCCTGTACGTTTTTAAAATTTTAATAAACATAGTATTTTTCATTTCTAAGAGCTCCTCTCGGTTTTCTGATTGTTCCTTTATTATGATATTCTGGTTTTGTTTATGGCTATGCTACGTTTCCTTCTCTCTCCAAGGATAGCCGTGGTAGTTTCTTCAAAGTTTTCTTCTGATCGCTGCCTTGTCTCTATTTCTTGCTAATTCCTTTTTCTCTGTTTGATTGAGTTTTCTTCAATCGTCCATTCATCTTCTGTTACCCATTCATTTTTCGGAATGAAGCCTTAACACTCAGATTGGCAGCTCCGTGTAGGACAGGGCTTGCGAGGCAATGAACATCGCTATAGGGACAGCTGGCTCTTTCGTCAAGCATACCTAGATGGGACCAGAGGTCAGCACCTGTGAGACTTCTCTCTGGGGTGGTCAGATCCTATCCACAGACTCCTATCTGTATGCCTGGGTGCTAGCATTCCTGAACTAAGCCAGGGAGAGGAGGCGGGCTAGGGTCGCCCTGTTCGGTATTACGACTTCCACTGAATCCCCCTGTATCAGTCAGCTACTGCTGTGTAACAAACAACCACACACATGGCTTTGGTGCACGAGAATAAGCATTTATTGTACCTCACACTTTCAGGTCAGCTGGAGTGGGTTAATCTAGGCAGGTCGGCTCTGAGCTGCAGGCAGCTGGGTACCTCTGCCATCCCATTCTTGGATCCACTGGGCTTACCAAGGCATGTTCTTTTGTCAGCACAAGAGAGCATGTCCAAGGGTGCAAGCACATCGAGTCTCTCCTTACGATGCGTATGCTAACATCCCACTGGCAAAAGGCAAGGCGGAAGGCCAAAGCTAGTCAGTGGAGCAGGGAGGGGAAGTGTGCTCTTACCCTGGAGGGGGGCGTGGACGGAGTAATCACCTGCCAAGTATAATCAGACCTACTGCACCTCAAACAATCAGTCTGGGCGCTCACCCCCGCCTGCCCTGTAGCTGGTGTCCTTGGGTCCAGAAACGTCTGGTTGGATTTTCCTGCCCAGGCTAGGGAGGGATGGTTGCCTGGCTGCATCGTGCAGGGGGGGGGGGGGGGGGGCGGGCGGCCGGTGTGGGGTCTAATTGCCCCTTAAACAAACTTCTAAATAACCCGCCAGTTCTCAGCCTCCCGCCTGGCCATCTGCGGTGGCTGAATCCCCCACTTGGAAGCTGCCCTGGGATTCTGCAAGGCCCGGTGGGTTGCGTCTCTTCCACCTGCAAACCCTCCCCCCCCTGCCGCCCCTCCCGCAGCACAACAGGAGCTTGGGTTTGCCTTCCCCGGGCCTCTGTTAAATCATTTACCACCCCTCCATCTGCTCTCCGTACTTGTGTGCTGGGCGCTGGCTGGTCTGGGTTCACAGGTGTCTCCTGGTTTCCTTGAAGATGAGAGTTTGTGTTTCTGTTTCGTGTTCTCCATATCGTCGTCGTCGTCGTGGTGGCTGCTTTTCAGCAAGGGGGAGGGGCCAGAAGCAGCTGTGGCCCAGCACCCCGAGACAAGACCCTCCTCTTTGCTCTGTTGCATACACTTCTGTGGTATGTGGATGGACCACACGGCAGGTGTTGAGTTGCTGGTCGGTCTGTCTCACCGGCCCCTGAGCCCCCTGGGGAGCGCAGGGCCGGACGTCACCCTCACGGCACCTCCAGCTCCCACGCAGCTTGGCATGGAGCCCCTGGCTCTACGTGAGAACTGAAGTGAACGACCTTCAAGTGACATGGATGACTGCTCATCGTTTCACCTAGCTTAGGGCCTTCAGAAGTCTTCTAGAACCATCCTAGATCTCTGTCGCCCTCCCCAGAGCCTAGCCTGCCCTGCCTCTTACATCCCATGAGGCCTGGATGGAGTCAGAGGTCCCCAGAGGCGACTCTTTCTCTGGTTGTGGGTTGGGGGGGTGGGGGTGGGGGGGGAGTTAAGAAGGGAGGGCGGAGAGGTGAAAGAGCAAAGGCAGAAACTTTTCTCGGCCCCAGAAAAGTCGCCGTTTCGGCATACCACGGTATTATTTCCCATGATTTTACCAGGTGGCCAGACTCAGTGGGATGCTCCTCTGCTCCACATGATTTTGGCCGGGGCCGCCGTCATCCGGGGACTCGACTGGGCTGGCACATCCAAGATGGCTGACGCGCACGACTGGCGCCTTGGCCAGGATGGCTGGGAGGCTGGGCTCAGCTGGGTCACTGGAAGGGCTGGGTCTCTCTTTCTCTCCAGTAAAGTCTATTCTCCCGTCTGCTTGTTCGTTTACATCAACAACACGCACGTATCCAGCGTGGACTAGGTCCCAGACACCTGCTAGGGTCATGGTGAGCCATCCAAGCAGAGGGGCCATTGCCCGGGGCTCCCTGCGGACTCAGCTGCCCCACTGGGCTGAGAGCGAGCTCCTGAGAGCAGGCCCACGCTTGACTCACCCTCAACCCCCGCGTTTGGCACACCGGCCCAATAAGCATTTCCTCAGTGATTGGGTGACTGAATGAATCAATAGCCAGGCGAGCATTTCTTTAGGGCAATGGGCGTATATCGTGCCATCTGGGTCGCACAGACCCCCTGAGGCTTCGCTCTCCTATCCAAGGACCTATCTGGTCCTCTGCCACTTTGCACAGCGATACAGGAGGAAGAACACGGCCCTGGGAGACCCAAGACCTCAGTCACAAACGCTGTCAGCTAACATCAACAGAGGCCTGCCCAGCAGGGGCGTAACCAATAGGTGGTTTCATTTTCCTTTTGTTCCCCTAGCAAGGCAGCCGTTGGCGCCGGTTCTGCGGCCACCCGAAGTTGTCAAGGATCCAGCCTCTTTGCGTCCCTCTGCTCCTCCACTCTTAGCCTGTCAGCTTGTGGCTGCGTGCTTGTGGTTTCATGTGTATAAGATGGCTGCTGCAGCTCCAGACATCTCATCATTATTCATCGGGGAAGAGGACAGGACAAAGGGCAGTGGCCATTTTTGTGTTTTGTGGTTTTTTGGGGGGGGGGGGGCGGAAGAAAACACAAACTTTCCCAGAAGCCACCTCTCCAGCTGACTTACACCTGCCTTGCTGGCCAGAATTGTGCCCCCGTGGGACCCCAGCGGCAAAGCAGGCCAGGAGAACAAGTGTTTTGGTCTGGGGCGAGGGACCTCGCGGCTCTCCCTGAAAACTAGGTTTCTGTTAGCAGGAAGGATGCGAGCAGTGGGAGGAGATAGGAAAGGAGGGTGTCCGCCTTAGTGAGTTGAGCTCCAGCCCGACTCCCGCGCCCTCCTGTGCCCCTGTTTCCTTCTCCGCAAAACCAAGCTACTAACACCTACACTGGGCGGCCCCGAGGGGGGATTAAATGAGATAATATCCGCTAGGTGAGAACGCACGGTGGTGAGAGAATTTATTTCCTGGCGTTGCTGTTGGCATAAAGCAAGGGCTGTGCCCACTGGGGCAGGCTCGGGGGAAGAGGCACGTGGCAGAGACCCCCCCCCCCCCCACTCCGCGCGCCCTTGGCATCTAGGGAAGTTAGAGGCGCGGAGGAAATTCTTCGAGGAAAGAGGACCAGACCAGGGTGTGCCAAAGGCTAAGACCAAAGAGAGGTCTTTGACGAAATGAGCGTTCGGTCTGAGGCTGGAGGCGGGGTGTGGCCAGGCCTCCGGAGTCAAGGGAAGGGGTCCCAGATTTATCTGGAGGCCCCGGAAAAGCAGGGAGCAAATGAGGTTCGCTTCAGACTCTGGACGACTGGAGGGGGCGCCCCAGGGCTTCTAAACAACCAGCGTGTCCGATTATGGGGGGTGATGGGTCTGTGTTCGCCACATGCTAGCGAGCCAGCAGGCGTGGGGTTTTCAGGGGGGGTGGTTTGTTTCCGTGGTGAAGTCACCTTAAAAACAGAAAGGCCTCCTCTGAGCGGAGGCTGAGAGGCGCCGTGGGGTTTCCCCCCGCTAAACCCAGTTCCTTTCAAGGGGGTGGGGGTTCCTGGGAGGCCGGTGAGGTGGAGGGCCCTGCCTCTCCCAACATCAGGACTTATGGGGGCAGCTGGGGGGGCGGGGGCGGTGAGCAGAGAATCGCAGAGAACAGAAACCCAAAGCATTTCGCGGGCTGGCAACCGGGGGGGGGGGGGGGGGACTTCTGTGCCGTGGGGGACGGGGTCTTAGACCTCTCTTTTTTTATTCCTGCCTTGTAGCTTCCTTGTAGCTTCTCCAGAGTGTCAGCCCCCGAGGGCAGGAGCTCATGTGCAGCACTGGACCCCGCACCTGGAACAGAGGGAGAAGGCGCGCCATAAACATGCATTGGATGCGTGCATGAAGCTTGGACAGAGGAGAGCTACCATCCACAGGAGCGCAAAGGCTGGCACTTGTCAATTAGGAAACTCTAAGGTGGGAGCGCAGTCCCCTCTCGTAAAGAAACTCGCTGTTGCTTCGTGCCTCCAGGGACGGGCATTGCTTCCTTACCCCGTGGGGACCCTTTCGGTGACCCGCAATAAGGGTGGTTGGGGAGTTCTGGCTGCTCGACACCCATAATCCCGAACTCCAACAAGGGCTCAGTCCTCCTTGGGGAGATAACCCCTCCACCTTAAGTAGATAAGGTTCTTATCGGCTTGGAACCACCCCTCGCTCCAGCATGGGGTGTGGTCCAGGCCTGGCCAATCAGAGCTCAGCACCCTCCCCCCACCAAATAAGATTGGTTGAATATGACCCGCAAGTAAGCTGGTCCAATCAGAGTAAACCTTAATTAGAACTTTGCCTGGGGCAGATACTTGTGGGGTTTTTTGGTGTGTTTTTTTGTTTTTTGTTTTTTTTGTTTTTTTTTTTTTTTTTTTTGCCGAACTTGAACCCGGAAGAATGCTCTTGAGAGACACCTGCCAGAAAATGAACCAGACAGCAGGAGGCAGAGCAAAGAGGTACAGGAAAGCAAGCCCTGATGACATAATTTGAGCCCCCCCCCTCCTTGATCAAGAGGCACCTGAAGACACGATCTTTCCACATTTGAATCAGTAAATTTATTTTCTGCTTAAGCAGGTTGAATTAGGTTTTCCATTTGCAATAGCAAAAGTCCTGGCTGGCAGCGCCTGAAAGTTTTAAGACTCCTACGGGCAAACGTAGCTCAGGGTCCTGTGAGCGGTGGAGAAAGCCTCCAGGGGTGGCAGGAGTCCGCGGGACCCGGGGTTTTGACGGGCGGTTGCAGGTACCCGCCGACATTCAGAGAATTTGGTTTATTTCATGTTGTCCCAAAGAAGAGCGCTCAGACCAGAGGAGCAAACTTCTGAGACACTCACTTTGGCTCAGGAGAAGGAGAACTTTCAGACAAGCAAGCCCACCAATATTGGAGTAGTAGCCGGCCTCAGGAGGGAGCGAGAGACCCGTCCTTGAAGGCATACTGGCAACAATCTGGCCCGAAATTTCCAGAGGGGATTCAGGCGTCGGGGTGGGACTGGGGCAAAGGGGTAGACGCTGCCATTGTGTGGCAGCGGGCACGGACAGCACTAATGCAAAGGGGGCTCCCCTCTGGCCCCGGGGAAGGGGGGGAGGACAGGAGCAGCAGGGGTTGGGAACAGAGCCTGCGAATGCACACCCTTCCAGCCCCAGGGGGCCTCCGGCCCAGAGAAGCCCATCAACCAAGCTCTGCAGCCCTCTGCTAGGAAACACCACGGGCGGGGAGGGGACAGCGTGGCCAGCCGGGGTGCCATTGGGCTTTATGGGAGGGCCCTGGAGGTCAGAACCATCTGGCTGGGAGGGCTGGGTGCAACCTGGAAGGCAGACACGCAGGGGGTGAGAATCTGATGGCAAGCAGAACCGCCGCTTTCCCAGCTCAAGGCTCACGGCCGCCTCCTGGCTTTGGCTCCAGGTTGGCCCTCCCACCAGTCCCCCGCCACCACCACCACCCCCCCCCCCCCGCTTGCCCACCACACCAAGGCCTCTCCACCCTTCTAGTCCCACGTCTCCAGGCCGCCTCCAACCCACACTGGTCCCCCTTCTGCCCCCCTGGAGTCTCAGCTCAGTCTGCCCTGCCTCCACCCTTATGTGCGGTGCTGGCTCCTCCCCGCTCTCCTGGGGGGTGGGGCCAACGCATCTTCCCATCCCGGTCCCCATCCCTGGCCTCCGGCAGGGTCAGCAGGGTGGGAGCCTAGCGACACCCATGCCTTGGCTCTGGCACCTTCCTACTGGGAACTGGGCTCCACTGAGCTGGACCGGCTCGGGCAAATAGGGAAACTGAGGCCACTGCGATGCTTGCCCTTCTGTCTTGGCCTAAACGCCATTCCCGGTGAAACGCAAGGCCGCTGAGCAGTGGCTAAACACCCCCCCCCCCACCCCCACCCCGCCGCCCCCAGCCGGAGCCTGCTGTG